CTTAAAACAGGATCTGGCATTCAAGTGATGGCACTCAAGACTCAAGCGATGTTAGCTGCTACCATATTTCAAACAATCCAATTTTGATGAACATTTAGGTTAAAACAATTCTTCATATACAGTGCTGTGATGAACATCCTTGTTCACAGATGGGTTTGGGTTTTTTGGGGGGGAGGATGAATAAATTCTTGCAAGTGAAAATGCTGATTCAAACACATACTCATATAATATTTTACTAACAAGGTTCCACCAATCAACACAAATATCAAGTCAATTTTCACTCCAACAGTGTTTGACCATCATTGGTCTCCAAGATTGGGTATTAATATAATCTTTAACACTAGGTATTAATGTTTTTACTTTTTGGCAATCCAATGGCTAAAAATGATCACTGATTTATCAGTTTTCTAATAGAAGTTGAATGTCTATTTATGTGGTTTTTTAACCTTTATTTATTTATTTTTATGTGGTGCTGAGGATCAAACCAAGTGCACCCCACATGCTAGACAAGTACTCTACCACTGTGCTACAACCCCAGGCCCCTTTCATGTGTGGTTTTTTTTTTTTTTTTTTTTTTTACTGCCTATATTCTTTTATCATATGCCTGTCCCTAATTAGATGTGGAGAATAAAGAAACATTTTCTCTTGGGTCAACAAGAAAGAAAAAACATCTGTGCCTCAACCCCCAGCCCAATTCAGGAAAATGATTGACAGACCTCCTCCTCCCTTCAATCTCACTAGAATATAACTTTTAAGTTAAATTCTCTTGTTGCATAGAATAATTGCTTAATTAGAGAATCCAGCTGCTCTTGTTATTTAGCCCTAAGTCTGAACTTCCCTCTTTCATTAAAACTAAGATAACTTTTTGGTCCATTCATATGTACAAATTAAACTAGAAACTATATTCCAAATATTGTCCTCCCTCTTAAAAAGACCCTAGCTACTGATCCTGGCTCTATCTTGGCCCCCTCCATCTTGTATACCAGACCTGGTCACCATCAACAGATCATCATCACTCTCCATGATTAAAGTGCTCATAAGCAACCACAATATTCCAATCCTCAGCTGGCTCACAATATTCCAATCCTCAATCATGCAGAACATCTTTAACATCAATGGGTCCTTTGGCTTCTCTCCATCCTCACCACTCCTTCCTTACTTTGCCTCCCAAAGAGTTCAGATTTCACCTCCTACCATTTAAATACTCTCTTGCCAATATCCTAAACCTCTTAGTTTCTCTGTACTTGTATTGCATCCACCCAGCAAAAATCTAAACCTGTATGAAATGTAGAAATCCCCTTACTCACACCTCAAACAGCTGACTAAAGCAAGAGAACACCCCCTATACAAGCAGATGGTTTGATTCTACCTTCAGCCATTTCACCAAATGCTTGCTAAACAAAGTGCAACAAGTCTATTACTTTTCTCTAGCTAACTGCCATGTAGACTTCAAAACAGTAATTTAAAATTTCACTCTCCACAAATCATGATCTTGAAAATTCCATGAGTAAGAATTTGTTCCATAATTTATCTACTGTCAGTGTCTCAAAAAGTACTGGGTATACAAGAAGTACTGAATAAATCTATGCTAAATGAATGAATAATGCTCTACCTCCTAAGCTCCTGTTAAAGTCACTTTTTAGTGTCATGCAAACGAAATATATGTTTAAAATCTTCTAACAATCCTGCTACAAAGAACTAAATTATGTGTCCTACAAATGTTAGGCAGTAGGCCAGACACTGGGGATGCAGAACTCAAGACATTGTTCTTGCCCTTGAAGGCTCTCAGTCTAGAACTCTTGTAGTGTTTATGTAATTCTACTTTATATTCAGTTATTCATTCCATAAATGTATGAATACTTATATGACAAACATAAATCCTATGTTACTCTTACTTATAACTATCTCAAATATGAGAGACTTAATAATTCTCAAACTGCATTTAAAATAAGGCAAATATTAGAAATTAAAATTATGTTTCCTATACTACCTCTTATTTACCCATCTATTACATAACTGATTTCCTATATAAACCAACTCATATTGTGTTTAAAATAAAGTCTGAAGAGTTCTTAACCATACAAATAAGTGATAATATTAAATGCTTTAAAATATTATTAAATGTGAAATGTGTCTCTTTTGACCCAACAATCCTTCAAGACTATCCTAAATTTAGGTATGCACATATGTACAAGGGTAAATGTATCTCTACTAGTCTAGAAGTTAGTGGAATAATGAAGTGAAAATAGAAATTTGCAGAGAAATACATGTAGTAATATTCTATTTTTATTAATAAAGGGAAAAATATACATAAATACAGAGTATATAGTTAAATAAACACAAGTGAGTAGGGTGGAAGATGCCATGGCCTGAATGTCTATGCCTAGTCCAAAGTTTTTGCTGAAATCCTTATCCCCAAGGTGTTGATGTTATAAGGGGCCTTTGGGAGATGATTAGGTCATGAGAGCAGAGCCCTCAATAATGAGCTCAGTGCTCTTATAAAAGAGGCCCAAGAGAGACCTCCTTGCTCCTCCCACCAGGCGAGGACTCWGCAAGAAGGCACCATCTATGGAGTCTTACTCCTGGACTTTCAGCCTCCAGATCTTTGAATGATAATTTTTTCTTATTTATAAGTCACACTGTCTATTCCTCTATGTGGTTTGACATAAGGGAAGGTATCACTTCTGTGATTAAAAAATGAAAAAGTTCATTACTTTAAGTGTACAAAAAGGCTTTTTCCTGTATTTCAGTTCTAAATATGGGCACTTGCCAAGTTCTGAACATCTGACATATATGGTCATCCTACAAATATGAGCCACTGTGCTAGATCAAGCGCCTTGAAGGGCAGAGGAAGAAGGACAGCAGTTGTATATTGTTGCCTACTTCTCTTCCCACCAAGTGGCTTCACTTGAGAAGCGGAGAACAGAAGGAGAATGTTGAGGAAGAGCTATTTAACACAATGAGACAACTTTAACATGAAACAATAAAACAACATGAAAATGGAAATGAATGACAGGTTCCTAGGCCTGTTAAAAATAAATAATAAAAGACCAATTAAGCCAAAATGTGTTTGAGATACTATATATGTTCAATAATGCCCTCTCCTTTTGAACATGGTACAATTGTAATTCAAATTCCACAAAGTCTCCCATAGGACCTGTTTTCTCTTAAAACCAACAAACAGCCTAAAAACCCTGATTCACTAGGTTTGAGCACTCTGGGTCAAGTATTATTTCATCTGTTCTCAAAGACTGCACAGTAAACTGTATTAAATATAAGGAATGGGATGGTTTGGGATCACTGCTATGATTTCCACCCTCCCCTGATATCTGTATAGCACTTTATACTTTAAAAGGTCTTTGATACACATGAATCACATGTTTAAATTACTAAGAGGAAGTAATTAAAGTATATCACCTTGCATTATAAGCATGCAACAATTTAACCTTTGATGATTAAAAAGGTAGCAGAAYATGAATTTGAAAATGTATGCTATGAGGCGTTATGCAGATATACTTGAACTGTACTGTAGATACTTGATATTTTCCAAATAGGAAATTTCAGATGAGAAACTGTCACAAGACCAAAAGTTTACTTTAAATTTTATAAGCAAAGGTTAATTTATTTGAAGAAAGTCTACTCCATTGGACTATAACCGACAGGGAAGACGTAATCCACTCATGAACTWTTTTTTTTGTACATAAGTAACAAACATGGGAAAATCTGGGCTATCATCCTTGAAAAAATATTTTTTACACTAGTTCTTCCTCAAAGGGCTAAAAACTTCTAGGTAAATATGGCTTCATATTATGCAATGATGATTTTGCAAAAATGATTCATGTAACTGTATATAGACTTTCCAAGTTTAAACACTGAAACATCTAATTTTAAAAATCTAACGAGGCATTCAACATATGTACCAATATGTGCCAAACGCTAAAAATAAAATATACATATCCATTTACTTCCAGGTACAAAGATAAACTTTATAGTGCTCTCTACCTACTATAGGTATTTTGCACAGATTAAATGAAATTTTTCTAGGAACACATGCCATTTATGTGAAAGCAATACCAAGTATTTCTAGATATTTACAAAAGCCCATTATGTAGAAAGGAATTTTTAAAGGGTCAATTCATGAAAGAAACAATAATATGTCATAAATCATCTAAAATGAGTAAAAATGAGAATTCAAATAAAAAACTCAAGTTAGGGTAAGTAAGTAAAGACTCTAGATGATAGCCAGAAAAGTACATATAAAGTAAATTCATTTAAAATGGAGATCAAATTTATAATGCAATGGAAATAAAAGCCTGATTAGGACATTGTCTTGAAAATTTTTAAAATAGTTTCTTGTATGAAATAGAATTTATAACAAAAATTATATTCTTATTATTAGAACATAAAGTGTGAATCAAATGTTGCTTATGTGGCAAAATTTTTTCCAACAAATTATATGATAATCCAATTCAAAATCATTTTGATTTTCATATGGCCATTATAAAGGAGGGTTTTTTGGGGTTTTGTTTTTAACACTTGAAGYTTCATTAATCTTTCTAAATGTTTCACTTAATGTTTTCATCTTCAAATCATTCCCTTTTTAATGCCTATAACTCAATTATCCTCTTTGATCTTTCTCTTGTTTCCTTTTTAAATTGTCTGCTACGCACTCAATATCTAAAACTCATAGGAAACTGAACATACAAAGAAAACAAAAGTCAAGATAGATGCACATGCTAACTGAAGTGAGGTTTTGGAGTGGGCACTAACTTTCAAAATGGTATTTTAGTGAATATTTTGCTTTCCTACACAACTCCTCCTGCAACCTCACAATTGCAGTGACTTGGATAATAATTTCACAGCTAACGATAACCCCTCATTTGTGTATTACCTGCAAGAGAGGATATTCATCCTGATCTGAATATCTTAGGATATACAAAATATGTCCCTGTCAGGGCCACATTTGTAAATGATATTTTTAATGCAATATAATACTATACCAAGGTGGTAAGGGAGTTCCTTTTCATATAGAGTCTCTCCAAGTACTGCAGTCCTTCATCTTTCAGTAACTCCAATGGAAAATGGTGCAGATTCCTATAATTTAAGAACAAATTCTTGTGCTTTTCAAGCCTTGCCACAGTGATCGTCTTACAAAGTTCGGATGCCATGATTGATCATATCCCATCAGGCACAATGCAGCACTACATGTTGTCAAAATTGGTCAATTTCTATAAAGAGAACAAAAAAGTTTAATCATTATAAGACTCTTACTAAGACTGGAGGTATAAATCTGTGGTACAGTGCTTGCCTAGTATGTGTGCGAGGACCTGAGTTCCATCCCCAGCATCATCAACAAAAAAGACTTTTTTATAAGCATCACCATTTAAATCTGTTCACTTACAAAGCTACATGTGTACACACATTAACAAGATGAATTATACATTCTATCCTATATTTTCTTTTGTAACAACTGAAATTTAGGAGATTAAAATGAAAAAATAATAAAATATTCTGATTAAACAACACTTACTATTTATCAGAAATGGTCCTAATGAGAAAAACATTTTTTGGACTTGCGGTAGGAATACTTGTCTAAGAGAACATAGATCAGTTTAACCTCATATTCATCTTGAACTATCTCATTTTGAATTTATTTTAAGATATGTCAAAATATTAGCACATATGTTAATAGATCATTAACCACTGTTTTCTTTACTTCCAGTATCTGAATGTTTTCCTGTATCCTAACTTTCCTTTCTTTTATCTCTTTATTCTGGTTTTGTTTTGGATTGTGTTTGTTTGTTTGTTTTTGCTTTGCAGATTATCTGAAGTAGCAAAGAAACACGTTCAGGGTTACAAAGTTTTATTAATTTTATTTATTTATTGTTTGAAGTCCAGCCTCAAGCATGTTAGGCAAGCGTTAGATCATTAAGCAACACCTCCAGTGCCCAGTTTTATTACTTTACATCTTTTCAATGAAAGAAGCAACACTGCAAAAGGACACAGTAGCACTGTATTATTATAATCTTTTCAGGCCTCAGTTGACTAATATATTAATGTGTTGCTTTAAAGGCTCCAGGACAAATTAAATTAAATTAAATTTTCTTCTGGTTACAAAATTGACAAGGACAGGAAGAAAAGTAACATTTGACATCATATCCACTGGCTGAAACAAACTTTACCATCACTGAATACAAGATGAAACAAATTGAGGGCTTCCAGAATTTGTCCAAGGGAACAGTTTACAAGAGATGAAGATCAGGTTCAGTGAATTTCAAAACTTGGGCTCTTTACACTGATTCATAAGGTTCCTCAAGATACAAAGGAAATGCTTAAACAATTATAAAGAAGCTGAGTTTTGTTCAAAGATTCTACTCTGTTTTTCTGGTACCTTTCCCAAAAACAAACATAAAACCACCTTTCACTTTTCCCCAGGAATTAATGCCAAAGCTTTCAATAAGCAGAGTTTTGCAAGTTTCATATTATTTTCTATCATTCCCAAAATTTAATTCCTAGCTAATAGGACAACCCTTGCCAGAGCAAAGAATATGAAATTCTCAATAACATTCCCAATGCAATATAATAATCCAATATTTCCCCATATTTGTTCCACCTACTCACTTACCTACTTTATGAGATATTATGTGATTTTGTGCAAGACCCGAAATCTTAAGATATCTTAATTCTCTATAAAGCTAGGGGAACTAGATAACAATATCAAAGACTGTGGAAAATGAAGCTTTCTAGGTAATTATTCCCTGAAGTAAACTGAAAACATTTAAGATATCTCACAAGCATCTCAACTTAATATAGTCACAGAGAGTTTTAGATTTTCACCACCAGTCTGAACCTCCCAAGTCTTTTCCCTCTTAGTAAATGGGGAGAAAGCATAATTCTATCCATGCAGCAGCCCATTCCAGAAAGCTGGCATTATAAATGAGTCCGTCCTCCTATTCCCCCACATCTCTGCACTATCATAAAGCTGATGGTTTCCATTTCTAAAATATATTTCAAATCCATCTACATCTCTCCATCTGTCAGAATCATAGACACTGTCATATCCTCATTGAGTCAACTCTTATTACTGGTCTGAGTCCACTTCAATCATTTCCAACACATTAATCATAGTAGTGAGACTTTGAAGACGCAAACCCAACTGCTTCTCATTCTCTCTCAAGCACACATCTTACTAAATAAACCCTTCAGAAGTTTCTTACTTAGAAAATCACCCTCTTACCAGTTCTTCAGGGCTTTTCGCCATTGGACCCAACACACTTCTCTAGCCTCATTTGCGGCAATCTCCCTGGCTTCCCAAATTCCTGGAACTACCAAATTCCTTTGAGTTCTTGTTCTGCTATCCTCTAAGTCTGGAAAGCACTTCCCCATCAACCTCCAAGTTTCAACATAAAAACCAATTCCCTATTTCAAGTTAAAGTATTCCCCTGGTATTCTTTTCAAGCAACCCAGCTGTTTTTCTTCATTGGATTCTGTGCAATTTGTAATCTATATATTTACTGGTGCACCTGTTTACTCTTAATCTACCAAGAGCCTGTAAAACCCTGAGGGCAGAGATTTTGCTGCTTCTTCATGTCTGCACAACTAGCACAGTATCTAAAAGCAAGCCTTCAAACAGTTAATGAGTGGATGAAATTAGAATATTTGGAATAATACTGGAAGGCTGATTTTTCATCTACCCATCTCAAAACCATTTATAGATTGTATAAACTTGCTGCATGCCATAAGGATCTCTAATCCTCACAACCATGCATTGCAACATTGCTTAGCCCATTTTCTAGATAAGAACAGAGTTTCTTAGAAAGTAACCTGCCAGAATTTCAAAGCAGGTGGCCTAACTGCAAACTGCAAAGTCTGTGCAGCATCATACAAGGCATCCTTTCATGCACTTCAGTGTAACTAGTGCTTCTTCTATCATTTATGTGGTATGCAAAACTTACATAAATGAAGTCTTTGCTTCATAAAGCAAAATACATCCACGCTCACTGATAGAAAATTCAATAAGAGAATTAACCAGATGGTTTTCCTTCCGAATGCTCTGGCTGGAATTGGTTACCTCAAAACCATCATTACACCCTGAGAAAATGCATTTTATTTTGCATCGAAGATAGACTGGCAGATAGTCTATACAAATGCAATCTGAAAGCTGTCAACAGTGCTCATGGTTTTCCAATATGCATTCATTGGCAACAGAGCCTATAACAGCATAATTTTCTTTCTATTTTACTACACTATCTCTTGCCTATAGTTAAAGCAAATGGTGTATTTAGCATTAAGTATATACAGCTGCATCTCCACCTGAGTTTTGACAGATGAGCACCAATCTTATTATTAAAAAAACAAACAAACAAAAACCCCTCCCATTTTAAGAAAATCCCACACATGTTAAGCAGGAAAGGAGTCCCTTAGGCTGACTTCGCCATACCTATTCTACACGGTAGAATACCCATTCGGATATCCTAGCACTGGAGATTAGGGAATTATAAACTGTGTATCAAGCATTTATAGAAGATTATTTTCTTAGTACTAAGAAATGCTAACATTAGTCTCATGCAAAACACATGCTGTTTTGCCCCAATTAAGCACTAAGATAGTTACAGTTAGGCAGCAGCTAGCATAGTGGCAGGGGTTTCACAGACCGGTGTTAGGCGGACTGTCCGATCCCCTGGCCACGGAGTGCGAGGAGGACCCAGCAGCCTCGGTGACCCAAGGCCCGGGGCAGTCCACAGTCCCACTCGCTGCAGCCAGGCGTTTTTGCCGGGTCAGGTATGGAGCGTCCCCACCGGAGACTCGGCCAAGGGACCTTGACACTTGAACCTCMGGACAGGGTGGACAGCTGCACTCACCTCGGAACCGGCACAGCCCGCGCTCCCGAGCGCGGGCGGAGCTGGACAGCAAGCCTAGGGACCGCGGATGGGGCGGGGCGGGGAGGGGCTAGGCGGGATGGCCAGCGCCGGCGGGCCCCGGGGGCGGGGCGGAACCCGCACTACTAGGAGTTGGGGAAGAGGGAGCCGAGGAAAGGAGAACAGGGCCTCGCGATAATTCGTCTCAGTTCTCGCGTTTTTACGATAGGTGAGACGATAGGCTCGTTTTCCAAGCGATGTTCCTATTGGCGGAGAGCACTGCTTGGTCCCTCCAGGGGCTCTGCTTTTGCTTCCGGCTCCCGCGTGGGGATGGAAGAGAGCTACTCTTTGTTTAGTTACCTTGAAAGRGTAATTTAGCCAGCGCCAACGTCAGGAACCGCTGGTCGTTGACCTGTTCTTTTGTTTGTACATTCACTCAGGCGCTCGGACTGGTTATTCAATCCGTAGGTTGAGGGATGACAAAACCCGCGACGGAGCGCTTGTTGTGTACCTTGGGGCATTCTAAGAGCCGTGCACAGATTATCTCATTTAAGTCTAAACAGCAATCCCATGACACAGGTACTGATATTATACCAGTCTAATGGGTTTAAAACTGAGACTGATAGATTTATGTCATGCAGGGTTCGTCAGTGAACCGTGAGCCCAAGCGCTGGGTTAAAGAGCTCACTGATAGGTTCCAAAGATGAGGAAGTAGTCTGCACTTTTAACACTCAAGGTCTATTTTGAGAAACAGTTGCCAAAAAGCACAATAATAATTTAGACATTATGACAGTTACTAGCATGGCTAAGTAGGATGTCAAAAAATATTTCTTAAAGAGAAAAATTCCTGTCAACGAAGACATCAAAAGAAGAGGGCTTTGGGGTTTTTTGTTGTTTGTCTTTCAATACGTGCATTGTTCGGGAACATTAAAAACTTTTTTTAAATATTGTGTTCATAACTATAGCACCTTTCCTTCTTTAAAAAAAATCTTCTAGAACTTATTCTTTGTCCTTTGAAAAGCTTGGTCTGATAACTTGCTTATTGTCAACGTTAAATTTTATAGTGAACTAGTTTTATGTTGGCTAATTACTTTTAGATATGAATTATCTAGAAAGAGTTATACTAAATAACACTGGTTCCAAAATAAGGTATGAATTACAATCAGATGGTTATCAATTATTTATTAAATCTGGTCTTCCGGAGTTACTGATGTGACATGTACATACATAACCTGTATTCCTAAAACCTTTTATGGAGTTTCATAATACCTCAGAAACTTTTTGCGGGACTTAAAATGAGGAAGCCTAGAGTGTGTAAAAGCAAACATCTATCGGTTATTAAGAATCAACCCAAATAAAGACACTTGTTGCTAATATTGGAATAATCACACATGCAAAATAGAGGAATAATAGAAAAACAATTTTTTTAAAAAATCAGTGTTAGTTTCTTAGTTTTCTTTTTTTAAAAAAGAAAACATCTTATATTTGATCATGAAAAATGAATCATGTTAAAATAACATTTACCCCCTTCCCAAACTGACACAAAAGTGACCAGGCCAGTATGTGATATTAGTGTATCTTATGACCATTCTTTAGATCTCTCAATTTGTAGAGGGTCAATTTACATATTTTTTACTTACTTAAAGGGGGAGAACCCTTTAATTTAAACTAGTGATTCTACAGTCTTCAACAAAATTTAACATCAACAGGCAGCAATACCACTTTAAGAAAATTCCAAGGAAAAGACAAACCCATTTTAAAATTCCCACCTCTGGCTTCCAAGGATTGGGTTACAAACTTCGACAAAATGCTCCTCTCCACTCCCTATTGGTGAAAGCTCTATCATTCATTCTTCTGCCTGAAGTTTTGTGAGGTACTGGGTTGCTTTACRGGGGAAAGGCTGTTCCAATTTTGTCTGGAACTGCCCTACTTTAGACTTTTTGTGGTAATCTCTACAAAGAAGCCCAAACGGAGACAGCATAACCAAACTGGCAAATCAGGCTATCAAGACAACTGTGATTTGCTTGAAAAAGAAACGGAGATTCTGTTCATCTGACTGGGTAAACTGACAAAGGGTTTTACGACATGTAACTGGAGATCTGAGAGTTGAAGAGAATTTTCTGGTTTTTCAATGTTTTAAAGAAGTATCAAAGGAAAAACAGAGAAAATACAGGCAGCATGTAAGGGAGGCAGGATGAAGAGTCTGCAGAGGGTGTTTGTCTTTAGGAAGAAGTTGGAAAGTATTTTCCCCAGATTATCAGTGGGGGTTTGAAAGGTAAAGCAACCAAGATAAAATTAATTATAGATTATTTTCTACTTTAAGAAACTGTGCTCTGTTGTTATTTTAGCTTAAATATGGGTTGACAATAATATTGTAATTTTTAAGTGAAATAGCTATTTGTGTTTGTATAGCTGGTGTAATAGACAAATCCATCTATTAAAAGTTTTAATAGGAAATTACAGTTGGCTTTGGACCCAAATTTTGCATATATTTATAAACTGTGAAATCCAGGCACATYTGCCTATGGTCAAGGTAGTTCATGCAGGATAAATTTCCAAAACAGAAATCTGGCATTTATATTTTCAGAAATGATATTTTTTATTAAAACCAAAATATAAAAGTTCAAGAAGATATTGATAAACAAAAAATATTAATTGGCCACTATTTGTCCATATTATTGAATATAAAATAATAAAATACAAGATGAATGAGATGTTAAATTAATGTACTTGAAACCACAATATTTCTGTTTATTAAAAAAAGAAAACTAAGAAACATTGATATTTTTTAAAAATTGTTTTTTCTATTGTTAATCTATTTTGTATGTCTGTGATTATTCCAATATTATCAATAAGTCTCATTATTTGGGTTGATTCATGATAACTGATGGATTTTTGCTTTTACACAAAAATCCTCCAGAAGCTCATACCAAAACTGTAGAAAAAATGAGCTTCAGAACATTTAATAATGTTCTGGACCGTTCTCAATGCCCAAATGACTGTTGTAAATCACAGGTGCTTCAGGATCTTAGATTAACATGAGCAGAATTATTTAGGGAGAGTTTCACAATATGGTACCAATTCAAGTAACTGGCAAATTTTCAGAAGATTTWAAAAAAAAGTGACATTCCATGTAGTAGGTGATAAGTCAGCAAATACACATAGCTTAAGAAAGAGTAGGTTGACTRGAGAATAAGTGTGATTTGGAAAGCTTGATTAAAATAATGATTTTTTTGAAAAGCACAAGAAGTTACACAAAGAGCCAAAATTGCCAGGATTAAGGAGTTTGGTCTTGGATTTTTTAATGGGAGGGATACCTTATGAAAGGAATATTGGAACATGATAAAACTGGCAGTGCAATTTAAGGTGGCTTGGGGGCAGATACCAAAGGCCAGAGGGCTCAGTGATACAAGTATCGATATACAAAATGGTTACTAAACTTCCTAAGGCATTTTATCCAATTATCTTCCCTGTGTTATTACCTTTCTTTGTAATCCTGAAAAGCATTGAGTCTTTTTCTAGTTTAGCACTACAAGAAACTTATCATATGTAGTGGTGGTTATGGTCTAATTAGGACAGTAAAGGTGATCTTTGTTCACATGGAATATAAACACACATTTGTTCACATGGAATGTATTCTTTCTTCTTCCCTCACAGAATTTACTTGTGGTTTGTTCAGTTTTGCAGTACTGAAAATCAAACCAAGGGCGTTTTGCATGTTAGGCAAGTACTCTACTGCTACATCCCCAGTACTTTTTATTTTGAAACATGTCTTGCTAAATTGTCCAGGCTGGTCTCAGACTTGAAATCCTCCTGCCTAAACCTCCTGAGTAGTCAGGATATACCAGCAAATCTGTCTTTTAATTGTGTTTCCTTGATTCTGCTTAAGAAGGAACTTGTACCAGCAAAACCTTATGACTTGAAGATCACCATAGGAGGCATTGTGATTCAGACAAAGCACCCACTCAGTGGGCTGAGGTTGTGGCTCAGCAGTAGAGTGCTCCCCTAGCACTTGCGAGGCCCTGGGTTCATGGGTTCAATCCGCAGCACCACAGAAAAATAAATAAATAAAGGTATTGTATCCAACTACAACATATATATATACACATATATATATATGTATATGCATATGTATATGTATATATGCACATACATATGTGTATATATATACACACACACACATACACACACAACACCCACTCAGTGAGCTGCTTATACACATATATATGTGTATACACACACACACACACACACACACTCACACACACACATACACACACAAACAACACCCACTCAGTGAGCTGCTGTGATATACCAGACACCATGCTCAATATTGGGAAAGCAAGATAAATCAAAGACCATTTCTGGGCAGTGGCACCAAAAAGCCCATATATAATTTCCAATAGTTCTCATATTCTGTCATGACTCCTCATGATGTATAGTTGCGCCTTGGTCAGCCTGGGTCGCTGATTGAGTCTGTAGAGCAGAGATTTCCATCTCCAATCCTCAACCAAGTTAATCTACAGCATTAAAAAGTTAATACACTGGGCTGGGGATGTGGCTCAAGCGGTAGCGCGCTCGCCTGGCATGCGTGCGGCCCGGGTTCCATCCTCAGCACCACATACCAACAAAGATGTTGTGTCCACCGAGAACTAAAAAATAAATATTAAAAATTCTCTCTCTCTCTCCTCTCTCACTCTCTCTAAAAAAAAAAAAAAAAAAGTTAATACACTACCTTAACTAGCATACCCAATCTGGACTACCTCCACTTATAAACAGGATTTCCCCTGAAGATTTTGGCATTTCATTTTTTCTTAAGTTAGGGGGGAAATACCCTAATCAACTGTTTTAGGTATCAAATAGGTGAGATATTTGGGGAGAAAAATCACACTATAAGGATGATTTAATTCATTAGTAAGCATTTATTAAGGCTGATTTAGATGTCAGGCACTGATGTCAAGTGATCCATCTATTTGTACAGTAATGATATTAACATAAGATTGATTCTAAAGATTGTTGAGGCCTCTGCCATATTATCAGAGTTGCTCTATCTTATAAAAGTCTTGTAGTTGTAAAATGTGTAAAAACCAGAACTACATATAAGACAGTGTGGTTTCATAGCCATTTTTAACAGCTTTTGTGATGTATAATTCCTATACCCATAAAATTCACTTATTTTAAAGATAGAATTCAATAATTTTTTWWWAAATTTTTATAATTGTACAATCAGTGCCATGTGCCAATTTTAGAAAGTTTCAGTTACCCTAAAAAGATAATTTGTGCCCATTTGGAGACAATTCCCTTTTGCTATCTCCAGCCCCACCCAATCACTTACAGACTGTTCTTTTCTATAGATTTACCTTCTCTGGAAATTTTATTAAAATGGGATTATACATATATGGTCATTTTATATCTGGGATCTTTCACTTAGCATAATGTTTTTGAGGTTTATTCATGTTGTAGTATGTAATATTGCTTCACTTCTTTTTATTGACAAATAATAATTGATGACATGCCAATACCCATGTTTTCTTTATGTATTCATCAGTTGACAGATATTAGGATTGCTTTCAGTATTTTGCTATTATGGCTAATGCTGCTATGAAGATGTGTACAAGTTTTTGTGTAAATATGTGTTTTCAGTTCTCTTGGGTTTATACCTAGGAGTGGAATTGGTGAATCATATACCAATAACTTTATGAAGAATAATGCAACTGCTTTCCAACGTGAGGCACCACTATTTTATATTTCTACTAGTAGAGTATGAGAGTTCCAATTTCCTCAGATTCTCAACAACACTTCTTGCAGTCTTTTTATCATGGTCATTCTGGTGGAAGTGAAGTGGTATCTCATTATATTACATTTTGCTAATGACTTGTAATATTGAGCATTTTTCATGCACTTATTGGCCACTCCACATATCTTCTTTGAAAAATGTCTTTCAAATGTTTTGCTTATTTTTATCTTTTTTATTCTTTTTTTATTATTAGTTGTTCAAAACATTGCAAAGCTCTTGACATATCATATTTCATACATTTGATTCAAGCAGATTATGAACTCCCATTTTTACCCCGTATACATATTGCAGATTCACATCGGTTCCACATCCACTTTTTAACATACTGCCATACTAGTGTCTGTTGCATTCTGCTGCCCTTCCTATCCTCTACTATCCCCCCTCCCTTCCCCTCCCCTCTCCTCCCATCTTCTCTCTCTACCCCATCTACTGTAATTCATTTCTCTCTCTTGTTTTTTGCTTATTTTTAAATTGGACTATTTGTCCTCTTAGTGTTGGGTTGTAAATAGTCTTTATATAATCTGGATCAAAGTCCTTTATCAGATATATGAATATGATTTACAAATATTTTCTCTTAATCTGTAGGTTGACTTTCCCCTTTACTAATAGTATCCTTTGAAGAAACAACTTTTCAATTGTGATAAAATCCAGTTAATCTATTTTTTCTTTTATCACTTGTGCCTTTAATGTTGTACCTAAAAAACCTTTGCTTAACCCAAGCTCATAAAGACTTACTTCTATATTCATAATACGTTTTAGCTCTCGATTTTATGTCTTTGATCCATTTGGAGTTAATTTTGCTATGTGAGGAAGAGGGCCAGCTTCATTCTTTGACATGTACTTATTCAGTTATTCTAGCACTATTTATTGAAAAAACTACTCTTTGCCCCATTGAATTATCTTGGCACCCTTATTTAAAAAAAAATTGCTGTGTAAGGCCCTGGGTTTGATCCCCACCAATCCCCCCCCAACACACACACAATTGACCATATATGTCAGGGTTTGATTTTGGATTCTCAACTCTTTTTGGTTATTCTGTGCCCACCTTGTATCCTTACCACACTGTTTTATTGGGGATTTTTTCCCCCAGCTTTACTGAGTGATGGTTGACAAATTAAAAGTTGTACATATTTAAGGTGTACAACATGATGTTTTGATATAATTGTTACTTATGTAATGATTTCCACAATCAAACAAGCTCATATAATCCAGAGTATTACAATGAATTCACATGTTAAACCAACTTTCCATTCTTGGAAAAAA